CTATTTGTGGCTATCCTGCCACTTGCTATTTAAAATTCATGTGTCCCCACTTCAAGATTAGCTCACAATGCCTTTAGAGACTTTCTTGAATGTGTAATGTCACATGATAGCACTGTCAACATACCAGAATGGAAACAAAGCTCCACCAGCCTGCTGCAGATAGTTACAAGTGACTGTCAAGGTGGAGTGTATCTGAATGAAATTCCAGTCTTTGCTCAGATTATGATAGGTTTTGTTATGAGACATATCCCACTGTGAATCCAAATATTGTGTTGTTTCCTTTTGACTATAATTTAGAGAAAATAAAGAATTGAAGTTCAGTGGCTCCTGTTCACTTCTGTAATCCTAGGCACTCAGGAGGCTGCAGTCCAGAGGACTGAAACAATCTAGACAGAAAAAGTCCATGAGAATTCATCTCCAAAATAACTAGCAAAATACTGGGCTAGAGGTATAGCTTAAGTAGTAGAGTGCTAGCAAAGCAAGAAAGTTGAGCAAGCATTGTCTTGAGTTGAAACTCCAATATCAGAAAAATAAAAAGGAAAAAAGAATTGAGTCAGACTTTCTTTTTCCCATCTCAGTGGTAAACCACTCACTTGGCATTCACAGCACTCTGGGCTGGGTCTCCAGTACAGAAAATGTAAATGCTATGGTGGACACTGTGTGGTAGTTTATAACCCTAGCACTCATGGTGCTGAGACAAGAGGGTGGATCCATGACACTGTGAGACCTTGCTCCACAAGGGCCCAAACCAAACCAGCAACAAAAACCATACTACAGATCATACTACCCTAGGTCTGGAGTGCACTGCCATCCCTGGCAGTTTAAACACGCACACACACATACACACATTTATTTCTCCCTACCCCTGAGGAAAATGTTTCATTGGCTACCATTTAAAAAAGTTAGTAGCTGGGCTGGGTGCTGGTGGCTCAAGCCTGTAATCCTAGCTACTCAGGAGGCTGAGATCTGAGTATCGCGGTTCAAAGCCAGCCCGGGCTATCTCCAATAAACCAGCAGAAAACCGGAAGTGGTGCTGTAGCTCAAGTGGTAGAGCGCTTGCCTTGAGCTGAAGAGCTGAGGGACATTGCCCAGGCCCAGAGTTCAAGCCCCACTACTGACCAAAAAAAAAAATTAGTAGCTGGGCACTGGTAGCTCATACCTGTAATTCTAGATACTCAGAAGGCTGAAATCTGAGGATTGTGGTTCAAAGCCAGCCTGGGCAGGGAAGTCAGTGAGACTCTTATCGCCAATTAATCACAGAAAAAGCTGGAAGTGGCACTGTGGTAGAGCTTTAGCCTTGAGCAAAAGGAGCTCACTCAGAGACAGTGCCCATGCTCAGAGTTCAAGACCCAGGACTGGCAAAAAAAAAAAAAAATTCGATATTATTTTTAATTCTAGAATTGGGCAACTGTGTGTGTGTGTGTGTGTCATGAGGCCTGAACTCTGGGCCTGGGCACTGTCCCTCAGCTCTTCATTTTATTCAATAAAATAGACTTTCATAGGGGGTGGGAAGGTGGCTCAGTGGTAGGCATGCATGAGGCCCTGGGTTCAATTCCTCAGCACCAGATAAGCAGAAAAAGCAGAAGTGGCACTGTGGCTCAAGTGTAGAGCTCTAGCCTTGAGCTGAGGGGCAGTGCCCAGGCCCAGGTCACGGGCCCAGGCCCATGACCAACAGACCCCCCGAAAAAACAAACAAAAAACTTTCATACTGAGCAGAAGAGGCTGGATTTCTCTCTTTTTTGTTGTTGTTGTGGGGCTTGAACTCTGGGCCTGGGTGCTGCCCCTCAGCTCTTCAGTGCAAGGCTAGCACTCTACCACTTTGTTTTTCTGTGGTTAATTACAGATCAGTCTCACAGACTTTACTGCCCGGGTTGGCTTTGAACTGTGTTGGTCAGATCTCACATCCAGAATTGCTAGGATTACAGGTGTGAGCCTGGAGTCCGGATTTGTTTGTTTTGTCAGTCAAGGGGCCTAAACTCTGGGCCTGGGCGCTGTCCCTCAGCTCTTCAGCTTGAGGCTTAAGCACTCTACCACTTGAACCAAAGAGCCACTTCTGGCTTTTTCTGCTTATGAGGTGCTTAGGAATCGAACCCAGTGCCTCATGTAGACAAGGCAAGTGCTCTACCACTGAGCCACCTTCCCAGCCCCAAGTCTGGATTTTTTTTTTTTTTGTCGGTCCTCGGTCCTGGGGCTTGAACTCTGGGCCTGGGCGCTGTCCCTCAGCTCTTCAGCTCAAGGCCAGCACACTACCACTTGAGCCACAGCGCCACTTCCGTTTTTGAGTGGTTTATTGCAGATAAGAGTTTCAGGGACTTTTCTGCCTGGGCTGGCTTTGAACCGCGATCCTCAGATTTCAGCCTCCTGAGTAGCTAGGATGAGAGGCATGAGCCACTAGCGGCGGGCTCCAAGTCTGGATTTCTTTCTTTGTTTTAAGGCTGGTGCTCCACTTCTTGAACCACAACTCCACTTCCAGCTTTTTAGTGATTAACTGGAGTCTCCCGGACTGGTCTGCTCAGGCTGGCTTTACTCTGATTTTAACAGAGATTAAGATTGAGATCATTTCGCAATTGCTTTTCTTGTAAGGCCGGATTGGAAGACTCACACAAAAGCACTGAAGTGGTGAAGGCAAGGTCACACTAAGTCTTATCATCTAAGGACCGGGTTCTGGGAGCTCCCCGATCCAGCAGAGTGGTAGGCCTGTGAGGGCATCAAGTCCTAGTCAGTCCACGTGGTGCTGGCCCAGGGGAGGCCTGGGCAGGTGGGGGTGGTAAGAGGGGGAAGGC